CACCAGACCTCTGGAGCCAGAGAAGCCACGTAAAGTCCCCCGGCCAGCACTGAGATGTTTATAGTGCCACTGGATCCAGAAGACCCCCAACCCAGTGGCCTGTGATCGTCCTGCATTGATGTCATTGCATGTGTTTCGTGAGTCTGAAGAGGACTTTATAGATTGGTATCAGATGTATGGGCTAATACCTGACTTATGGACTTGTACAATTATCCTTTATATAAAACTCTCTTTTATACATACATGATTCTCCCTGGATTTTTTTTCTAGTCTACCCAAACTAACAGGCATTTTTTTTACCTGCAAAGAATATTTTCAAACTGGTCAATATTAATTTTGTATTAAAGGAAGCATTACATTTGAATTATAAATCTACATTTTAGAAACATGGAGATTTGATGGCCACATGAAGACATTTTCAGTTGAAAATTGTTCTTTTGGTAACTACACTTAGTGTTTCAGCTACTTCATTCCCTGCTGGGGCTTCTTTCCCCTACCCATAGCAGTTATCATAAACTAACATCAAATATTGATTTATTATTTATTGTTTCAGCTTATTTATTCATTGGCATACATGCTCTTGGAAGGCAAGCATAATTTTCTATTTATTCAGCAACATGCCCAGTCATGAACTGAATTGCTGAATTGTGACCCCTCCTGTAATATGTATCCACTTCACTGGGCCATGATGCTCTGTGAGTTGGAAGTTATACAATGATAATATGTGGCAATTACGCCATGGTGTAATCATCCCAACCATGTATGATGTCCCCAAATCAGTTGTGAGAGTGTTAGGGCCAGATGCAACACTGTTATTGGGGACATAAACCTGATCCAATGCCACAGGAGTGTCCTCTGCACCACCTCCTATTTTATGAGATGGAGGAAAGGGAAGCAAGCAGGCAAGGCCTGGTTACTACCTAGAGAAAAGAGTCTGGAGCAGAGCAAATTGTTGGACCCAAGGTGCCTCCACAGATAGCCCACAAATCCCGAAGGAAAACATGTATGTGAAGACACATGGAAACCTCCAAGATGTGTCAGGTTCACAAACACTAAAAGGAGACATAGGCCATCCCTTAGGGCCACACAAACAGAAGTGTCTTTCCCTGAGAGCTCGAGTCAGCCTTAGATCCCTTAAACTGTGAGAGAGGAATTCTTCTTTGTTAAAGCCAGGGGACTTATATTTCTGCTATCACGGCACTGGACCACAAAGACATAGCCCCCATGCTTCGAAGAGCATCTTGTATATCATCGGTATTCAATAAATGTGTTGGATACATCGAATGGCCAAATGATGGTGTAAAAGATATAAATGTTATCCAACTATAAAGAAATGTTTCAGAAGAAATACAGCCAGAGGGCTGCTTAGAAGCAAGAATGACAAGACTTTGTCTCACGTATTTTGGACATGATTTAAGGTGAGAGTAGTCCCTGGAAAAGGACATCATGCCTGGAAAAGTAGAAGGGCAGTAAAACCATAGAGAGATTGATGCAGTGGCTGCTCCCACAGGTTCAACCTGAGAGCACCCGTGAGGATGGGTCAGGACCAGGCGGGGTCCCTTTCTGTTGCACGTGGCGCCACTACGACTCTGAACCAACTGGACGACGCTTCATAAGAACAGCGGCAACAGAAAGAAATGTGGCAAAGTTCATTCACGGTTTGGAACCTTAACACACTCTTTTAAAATTGACAAAGCAGACAAAAATAATTAAGAACATAAACAATTTAATTTGACAAATAGAACAAATCAAGTTGAATATATTTCACTAACAACTTTGAAGTTGGACTTAGCTGTGTATAGATTGAATCTCAAAACAGCATTAGAACTCAGTAACACAATTATGGTTCAAACACATAAATTTAAAAATCATGCTCTAACATTATTTATGAGTTGAAGAAGAAATATAAAGGGAAAGTACATACTAGTTAGAAGTGAACAGTAAAAGCTTTCCATATCAAAGCAGTACCCTAAAGGCAATTTATAAACTTAAATTTGCTTTTTATAGGTAACAAGAAAGACTATACATTTTTAAAACACTAATAAATAAACTAAATTTCAGCCAGAGGATATATAAAATGAACAGAACAATAATTGAAAATAAATTTGAAGATGGAATAAAAAAGATTATATATAATTAAACAAAACAAAAATAGAAATGGCCAAACCAAACAAAAACTGTTTCTTTGAACAGATTAATAAACATAGCACCTCTCTGCAAGTATGAGCAAAAACCCAAAGGAGCTAACAAACCAGAAGATTAAACAGAAATAAATAACATTAGGGACAAAGAAGCCTATTATATTCTAAAAGAAGAGGGCATTATAAAATTCTATAACATAATTGTATTACCTTTGCTAATTTGGCACAGCTCAGAGAATTTCATTTCCCTAGTACCTATTGTAGTTAGGCACCGTCAAGTTGATTTCGCCTCCCAGCGACCCTCTGTTAAACAGAATGAAGCGCCGCACGGTTCTGCACCGTCCTTACAGCCATGTTAAATCTGAGTGCGTTGTTGGGAGCCCTGGTGTACTCCATCTCCTTGAGGGCGTGTCCCTTTCACTTCTCAAACATGCTGTCTTTCTCCAGGATCTGCTTTCTCTTGGCAATGTGTCCAAAGTAACTGAGATGAAATATCACCATCCTCGCTTCTAAGGAGCATTCTGTCTATTCTGTTATCCAAGTGAGATTTGTTCATTCTCGTGGTGGTTCATGGTATATTTAATATTTTTAACCAACACCACTCTTCCAAGGCATGCATTCTCTTTGGTCTTCCTAATTCATGGCCCAGCTTTGACGCGCAATCAGCCTCTTGGGACTGCAGTGGTGTGAGTCAGGCACACCTCACTCCGCTAAGTGACGCTTTTCCGTGTTATGACCGTGCCGCAGATTGGCCGTAAGCAATGCACCTTTGATTGCTTGTCCGCTGCTTTCACAAAGAGTGATCCCAGTACAATGAAATCCTTGACATCTTCCATCTTTTTTTCCTTTATCATTATGTTGCTTATTAGTTCAATTGTGAGAACTTTGTTTTCTCATGTTGTGATGTAATCCATAATCAAGGCTATATAGTCTGTGGCCTTCAACAGTAAATGCTTCAATTCTGCTCCACTTTCAGCAAGTAGGGCTGTATTACCTTCATAGTATAAGTTATTGTAGTGTCTTCCTTCAACCCTGATGCGTCCTTCTTCTTCCTACTGTCCAGTGTCTCAGATGAGTTACTTATCATATCGATTGAGTCAGAGTGGGAAGAAAATGGACCTTTAATGTACGCTTTTCCAGATTTTAAACAAGTCAGTGTCCCCTTGTTCTGTTTAAACAACTAACTCTTGGTTTATCTAGTTATCACATGAGCATAATTAAGTGCACATGATGTAAAAGATCGTTGTAAGTATTGTAGATCATGTAAAAAGGTTGTCAGTATTGATGAGAGTTATACGTAGAGTACAACTGAAGTGATTGAAAGGATAAATTCCTGTCATAAAATCATGCTAGACTCAGCAAGCTTTTGGATCATGTCCTTATGTTCAAAAACCATGTTTTCCTTTGATCTGCCCACACTTAAAACAACAAAAAAAGATGTTACATTTATAAACAATATCTTTGACATAAAATTTGATTAGGGAAAAGAAAAGAAAAATTATAGAACAATGCTATTTATGAACATATAAAACACTGTTTCAGAGAACACCAAATCAAATCTCTAGTGTATTAAATTGTTATAATCAACCATGGTCTCTTTAAAAGATGCAAGGATAATTTTAAAGATCCACAAACCATATTGACTGTTGGGTGTTTATATGTATGTATATATTTTTATATATCCACACACACAAATGTGTATAATGCTGAAAGAACTGAAAATATAAACTAAAATGTGCAAGTGGGTTTCTGAAGAACTGGGACTGTGTGATTTTTGGAGTATCAGGAGATCTTTATCTTTAGCTCAGTTTTATTTGAAAAATTTTTGCCACCGTTTTTCTAGAGACAATGCTATTAATTCAATATCATGTGAACTCAGAAACAAAGCTATTGACTCACAATAATTTTTCGCATACATTCCTATCCTCACAGTGAAGATTCTGGATATTTGGGTTTATTTTGAATATACTACTTCAAAAGGTTGACAATGTATTTTTAAGATAATTTGTTTAAAATCCCTGAATTTGATTCATTCAAGAAACATGTATTGGATATTTAATACATCCCTGGACAAGTTAAAATGAAAAATTGATTTCTGCCATTAAGGAGTTAATTCTGTGCTGCTATGATATGATTTATCTAATTAGAGCAAATGATCTAACCAAGAAGCACCAGGGACAATAGTGTCCCTGTGAAAGGTGAGAACGACAGGAACAGCAACGCAGAGACGTTTCCACTTCTGCTAACTGCACTTTAAGGATTTACTCTAAGGAAGTTTAAGAAATTTAAAAAAATTGGATTAAAGGGAAACATATATGTTTATGTGTATGTGTGGTACAGCGAGAATGTCTGATATATTTTCATAATTGTACTTCATTTCCGACAACCTCGTCAGCTCTAATGACCTCAGTTTTTCCATCTACACAACAAGAGAAATACTCAAGTTGTTCATTAAATATAATTTCAGAAAATAGTGCTCATAAGAGTAGACGAAAAATATATTAAGATTGCAGAATATGTGAATAACAACATCAGAACACTACCATGAAGTTGGTCACTTCACAGAAACCTCGTAAGACAGAGTAGAAATTCCCCATAGACTTTCAAACCCACAAATCCCAGATCGCAGCCTGCTTCATCTTTCTACCCACAGAGCAACTGAGCAGTTGGAACCATGGTGTTTTGATTAGCAGCTGAATGCTCAATCCACCACACAGAAAGGATCCCTTAATGTATTCCTAATTGCTGTAAAATAGATCAACCACAGAGATGTATGTCTAGTAAACTGTCAGTGTGGATTTTTTATACTTGCAACCCTCCAAAGGCAACTTTTATGGTTTTGTTTTTGTGTTTTTACAGAAATTGAGAAAGAAAGCTGTGGAGATCCTGGCACACCCTTATATGGAATTAGAGAGGGAGATGGATTTTCTAATCGTGATGTTTTAAGGTTCGAATGCCAGTTTGGGTTTGAACTAATTGGAGAGAAATCCATTGTTTGTCAAGAGAATAACCAATGGTCTGCAAACATACCCATCTGTATCTGTGAGTACCAGACGCTTTGCTTCTAGACAGCATGTGTTACCTTGTCCTTGCATACATTGCTTTTGTAATTAATTACAAAGAGTTGGAACCATGTAATTATTTTGGGGCAAGTAGCACTTCATGATACTATCTTTAACAATTGTGCTTATGCCAAATTATAAATTTTACTGCAGATTTAAATAAAGTTAACATAGTTCACTTGGTAATTGCAAAGTATATTATTACATGTGTTTCTAGCACTTTATTGGTGGCATTTTATACTTTATAGATAGCATAATTTTTATGGAAATTATATATCTGAGCTAATTCTAATAGACTCATTTATTATAACAAGATAGTATATACTTATTTGCAATCAAAAACACTTAAATATTTAAAGCTTATATCTCTGTATAATGCATTAACTTAGTTTTGCTTTTAGATGCTCACATTATTGCATACTTTATGTGATATTTATTTACATTTTACAGAATGGAATTCATTAACGTATATCTCATTAACATTAATGAATTTCATTCTGTGGAAAAAGCATCTATTTCTCCAAACAAATTTAAACTTTCCAGTGTAACTACAGTAAAAACTAAGGAAGCTACACAAAAGTGGTGGGAAAATTTCCATTATCTTTACATTCCATTTTTCTAAGAATGTTTTGATGCCCCCTCATGTTATCTATTGATGTACACTAAAGTTCAATTATAGTTTGTATGACCAAAAACTATACTGACCAAAGGTATATGTAATATTGAATGAAGATGATACATGTAAGTTTTGAATAATCACATGTGATAATACATAAGCCAATAAACATGAAAGCAAAAATAATTTTCTGGTTTTTAAATACAAGTATTTTCTTCTGTTATTGAACTCACAGTGATAAATCTTTTGATCTTGAAATTCTTTACTCCCTACAAAGGTATTTGTACAAATTTTAATATTTATACTTTTTGGTAGGGGTAAAGTAAGTTCTAAACACCTACATTTGAGAACCATTTAATGTGAATTACAATATATGCTATAATCTAGGCTTTTTCTTGAACTTGGTTGATTATTTAAAATTTTGAAGGAGTGAATGAAAAATTAGAAACGATTGGTTATTGTGAGAGCAAGTCAAACCAAAAAGGTAGGACTTCATTTTCCTGTAGATGAAGTTTTTCTTGAATTACTCCATGGCTAAGTGTGAGCTGCCAGCTGTGGTTATTTCAAATATACGTATTATGTTTTCCTTACTGATGTTACAAGCTATTAGAGAATTCTGTGATCCTGGTATAGTGGATAATCAACTTTTCACCTACCCCCGCCAAATGTTCTCTGGATTGCCTGATCCCACTTGTTAAGTTCTTGTAACAGTTTTCATTTTCAGTTAGTTCATGGGCTTATTATCTTCTGTGGAAGCCTCTGTGCATTTCATCTTCATTCACAGTCACAGAATCTGAAACGTACACAAGACTCTAACATAAGCACGTCAGTACAAATCTCTTGTAAGATTTTTCCAATTACGTTTTTGTGGATGTTTAATAATATTGGTTTTAATTTTATCCTTTCTGGGGAAGCTTGTAACATTTTATTCCCTGTTCCCTAATAGTTTACATAGCTCCATATAATTTTATCAACCTACTAATTGAATATTATCATTACAGAAGATAAAATAAGGTAGGTATTAACTTTGAACATTTATTCTATTTCATTATCTTTCTTTTTGAACAGTCCCTTGCCTCTCTAACTTTACGGCACCCATGGGAACAGTTCTTTCTCCTGATTACCCAGAAGGGTACGGAAATAATTTAAATTGCATCTGGACAATAATCTCTGATCCAGGGAGCCGAATACACCTCTCTTTTAATGACTTCGATCTTGAGTCCCAGTTTGACTTCCTGGCGGTGAAAGATGGTGACTCTCCAGACTCCCCAATTCTTGGAACCTTTACAGGGGCTGAGGTGCCTTCTCATCTCACTAGCAATAGTCATCTATTGCGACTGGAATTTCAAGCTGACCACTCAATGTCTGGACGTGGTTTTAATATCACTTACAACAGTAAGTCTGATTTGTTTTCCTTATTATATATTCCTACTAATTTGAGCTGGAAAAGGAGCATGCTCCCAGATTTCACAGAGAAGGACACAGGCGGAAGATTTGTGCAATCCCTGGAACTAATTGCACCCGGGATGTCACTTAGTCTTTGATTTCTGACCACATTTCACCAGCTACTGCGTCATTTCTCTTTTTAGTAAGAGACCTGCTATGCATAAATTCAAGCCTATTGTATGTCATATATTTTGCTCTGTGATTGCAAATATGTTGCGATTACATAATTTATGTTTCAAATATAATACGAGCTCTCTCATTCAATATGTTAATAAATCCATAGGGTACCTTAAACAATCACCTAATAGAGTGATAATTCCAAAGACCAAATGCATGAGCCAATAGAGGCATCAGAATGAAAGACATCATTGGCTTTCCAGCAGTTGACGACTGAGCTGATTTTGCATAATTTCTATGGGGAAAAATAAAATGATTTAGTGATTAAGATTACGGACTCGAAAATCACACTATGCCATTTCAAACATGGATTTTGCTACAATTTTAGTTTTTAATATGAGTCTGCTTCTTCATCATGGAAAATAAATGGGCAGCTCCAAGGAATAAATTATTTGATGCAAGTGAATAATGCAGAATATATAAGCTTTTTATACTTTATCTTTGAATAATTCTGACTTTGTAGCAATCTTATAAGGCAGAGCAGAATTACTGCCCTGGCTTTCTCTGCATGGCATGGTGATCTGTTCATTGGGTAGCGGACGCTGGGGTCCGCAGTGTGAAAGCACCGGCCCTCTCGGGAGAAAAATGAGGCTTCCTATTCCAGGACGCAGTCATCTTCTTGGAAACCCACCGGGAAGGGCAGTTTCCCTTGGCCCTGTGTGGTCCCTATGAGCGAGAATGGGCGAGATGGCAGGGACCGAGTGAATCTTTATAGGCACATTGTTCTCTTGCAAAGTGGCTACTTGCCTTTGGTTATCAGAGGAACACTCAACCACTGTGCCCACAAGGATCCTCGTAAAGTACATGACACACTCCAAAATCTCACTGCTATTAAGTCTATTCTGACTCATAGTGACCCCAAATGCTCTCTGAACATTAACTATTAAGTTTTGGACTGCTAATCACAAGGCCAACCAGTTCAATTCACCAACTGCTCTGTGGGAGAAAGATGACACTGTCTATTCCCATAAACATCTACTGTACTGGCTATTCTATATGTCTGTTCCCCCAAACATCTACTGTATTGGATATTCTATATGTCTATTCCCATAAACATCTACTGTACTGGATATTCTATATGTCTATTCCCATAAACATATACTGTACTGGATATTCTATATAGGGTTGCTATGAATCAGAATTGACTCACTGGGAGTAGGTATTCTTATTTAACTTGCTTTTTAAATATAATGGCAGCATCTATGATTTCTATGCTTATTATATTGCTCTAGATTTGGGATTTTAAGACATTGTTTAGTTATTGATTAGATCCTTGGTGGCACAGTTGTTAAGAGCGTGACTGATTACGTAAATGTCAGCAAGTTGACCCCATCAGCTGCTCCGAGGGAAAATGGGAGTCTCCTTGTGCAAAGATCATCACGTTGGGAACCCAAAGCTGTAGTTCTATTCTGTCCTACAAGTTTGCTATGAGTTAGAATCAACTCCACAGTAATAATTTTGGTTTGATTAGGTTTTATTCAATAGCTGTGTGTTTAAAAGAATGAATATTATTCTCTTTTTTTAAATCATGCCCAATAGCTAAAAGAAAAATCATAGAAAGGAGAAAAGACATTAGTCAGTTCAATGCTTCTATTTACAAATGTTACCTGAAATCATAGGATTCTAAGTGATTTCTGTTTTGCTTTTTATTGAAGCTTCCATACTCTGCTACATATTTACCCAACTTATGCTAATATTTATATCACATAACAATAGGATGTCATTTCCAGCTATTCTGGATGCCCTTTTAAAAAAGAACTGCACCCTTACTGAAGGCACATTTAATGTTGAGTTTTGGCAATTAATAACAAAATGCAATTATTGTCTTTTTAAAGTCACACTAGCAGTGGTGAAAACTGTCACAAATATGATGTCAAAGTGTAATTGCACGTTATTAAAATTCAATTATCTATGACATGTGTCACAGATATTCTATAAAAGATGATTGCTTTACCTGAGTCTTTAAAAAAAATTATTGCAACTGTATGCGTAAAGTGAGATACATGTATGAATCCATCAATCATTAATTTTCTTAAACGTATATTTCTTCTAACTTTATTATTTATTGTACTTTCAAAATATTATGCAGATGTGACTCAAAGTTCCTTAGTCCATTTCTCTAATGAATGATTTAATCCATCAAATGTAAATTCTTATATTTCCTACATGTGATTCTCTTTTCTTCTGGAAATGTATCAGTTGAACATTACACAGAGGAGCAACCAGGCTAATTCAAAATTGCTTCATATTTTAATAGCCAAATAAAATTATTTGAAATAACTATATATAAATCATATTTTTTTATCGAGAATTTGCCTTAATTACCTTTTGTGCTGTTTAACTTAAAAGTCTACATTTGATGTTCTGACATTCTGATAAACAGAATAGATATTAAAATTATGTAACTGATGATAGGGTAGAATATATAAAATAACTGTAAGTATATATGCAACATGCATAGAGCAGTATGAAATGATAAAAACCCCATAAATTTTACCTCACCTCTTTAGATTTTGCCACTTGAGGTACCTGTGCATTTGCAGTGCATACATTTTATTTACTTTTTTGAATATTGTTTCTGGTGAAACTTTACAAAGCCAATTAACTTACCACTTAACACTTTCACATACATAATGTTTATAATTTTCACACTAAATCATCATTTCATTACCTGTTCTCCCAGCCCTTCCTTGTCTTCAGACTCCATGTGTGGATACATATTGACCATTTGGTCTTGTATAGTTAATTGTTTTAGAACACATTTCTCACAGCTAATATTATTTTAGAAGCTTATCATCTATTAAGCTGAAAGATCACCCCTGGAAATGCTTTAGTTATCATTTCAAAGAATGTCATAGGACTATTGTTTTGGGGGTTTCTGCAGTTTCTACCAGTCCAATATGTTAGATTATCTTTTAGGAATTTGAGTTTTCCCTATATTTTTCTCCATTTTAATCTGGGATCCTTAATATATCTTCAGCCAGCACATTTGACAGTGGTGGGCAGACATAGTCTAATTCTTCCGTTCTCAGGTAAGACGAGGCCATGAGTTCTTCTTTCACTCTCTGGCCTCCGTCATTCTCCTTTGCTCTAGATGAGTAGAGACCACTGGTTGTATCTTCCATGGATGCTTATAAGTTTTTAATACCTTTAATACCACAGATGCTGCTCACTAAACTAGGATGCATTATACTAACTTTTAAAAGTATAACATATTTTTTGATTCAGAAAAATGAAAAAAATTGTATGACCATGCAATTCTATAATCTCTGAAAAATGCAAATATATACATTCAATATATATAAATATCAATGTATATTAAAATTCAAATAAATACATTCTGTTTTGCCCATAAAGACAGTGTCTCTTCTCTGTGATTTAAGTATGAAATAAGAAAGAAAATAAAGTTGTCCTGAGCTCAAGAATGCATTCTCCTGTGATACAAGAGACAAATAATGTGAGATTCAATACGTTGTAGGAGAAAAATTGAAAAGCTAGACCAGTGGATGCATTTCAGTCCTATAACATCCTATCTCTATATCCTGCAGCAAGCTATTTAAGTTTTACTGAATATTGGATTTCCCGTTAGAATGGATCGGGTGCTTTCTTCATTAGACTGTACTAAATGTTAAATGAGATAATAGCACGCATACAACTTTTTATTACACCATCTAAAACACGTCAATTGCAAAAGAGTTAGCACTCTTTTTCCTACATGGTAAAATATAAATGTCATAGAAACTTACAAATATATGGGTTGACTTTCAAACTACACAGAATCATTTAATTTTCACACCAAGACTACCTTGCCATTTCTAACAAAATGAATTACAAGAAGTTTCCAAGGGATATAGTCAACCTAATCTATACTTTACATTTATTTGAATTCTAACCAGTTTATACAGGATATTGTTGCACAAATCAAGCATAATTATCAGCAAAACCAGAAGAAACAATTATAATTTAAAATGATATAACCTTAGAGAGTAATTCATATTTTAAGACAGTAACCTCTATTACACTTTGCAAATGAATAAATAAAATCTGAGGATAATCTCCATTTTGAAATAAATAACTAAAACTATTTTTTTAGAAATTAGCTTAGCACGTTTAAACCTACCCTTACTTACCTACTTATCCAAAATACACAACTGTCTCTCTGTTTCTCATCTTGATTGTGGGCTAATTTGTTTGCTTGTTTGTTTTTCCCTAAAGCATTTGGTCATAATGAGTGTCCGGATCCTGGGATACCAATCAATGCACGAAGGTTTGGAGACAACTTTCAACTAGGAAGTTCAATTTCAGTTATTTGTGAAGAAGGATTTATTAAAACCCAGGGAACAGAAACAATTACATGCATTCTTCTGGATGGAAAAGTAATGTGGAGTGGACCGATTCCTCGATGTGGAGGTAAGTGCCCAGGACGGTCAGAAATATAACCTTATTATGATGCATAGAAATACATAGGGAACCAGAAAACTCTATCATCTTTATTTATATTCAAATATTACTTTGTATTTCACATTACACATATATAGCTCATCTGATTACAATTTTAATTCTCCCGCTAAAATTTTTAGACTTTTGGTGCTTTCCTTACAAAGTATTCTTATTTAAAAATATACATTAATGAAGAGTAAACATTTCTTGCATGTGCCTACTCTTTTGGATACCTTTTATAGCTACAGTTTAGTATACTGTATGGTATGCACTCAATTTTATATATATATATTTTGGTACTTTAGAATATATTATAAAATGATTGTATTTTCAAAATTGAGTGAATAAGTATTAATTACAATAAATAAGCTTACACTAAAGCACCTATGAACTTAAAAGGTATAGTTTGCATGAACATATTTCATTCATTTTTCAGCAACTTTTCTTTGCCCAATAATTATTGTCCATAAGGTACATTACTCTACTTGTATATAATGTGTATGCCACATTTTGAAGTATTAATTATTATATACAATATACTCTCAAAAAATCCTATAAATGTGAAGATACTTAAAAATAGATTTTATATCTAGTGTAAAACATGAAACATATAGTGTGTGTGTGTGTAAGTTTACAAGTAGTGTTCAATTATAATGTATTACTCTTATCACAGACTACACTTATAACCACCTTTTTCGTTTTGTTTATTCATATTATTATAACAAATATATGTAACTTGCAACACTATTGCAAACAATTTGCTGATAATATAATTCTCATGCCAACATCCCACAAAAACAAATAAAGATTGTATTTATTAGGCTACTGAGTATAACATCCAATAATAAAGAAAGCTTAAGGGGGCTCAGTCCTAAGTCAGAGAGTCTATTTAGAACTGACATAGTAGGAGCAAGATAATGAATTCTCTTTTCCTCATTCCATTTGCATAGCTAAGGTGACCTACCTACGTTCTTAAAAGTACACAGACCACTGTCTTACCAAGAAGTAGATTAACTACTGCCAGGAAAACCTCATGAATCTCCATTCATAATTAAGAGATTGATTTTTACATGCTCTCTTATTTTTCTATTTTCCCATTTTTTTGCTTACTTTATTCGGACTAATAAATATGAGAATACTCAAATATATGTCTTCAAATATTATTACTCAAATATTTTATTCAAATATATGGCTATTACCTATAAATTCTGAGTTTCGTTAAATTGAAGATACTCATAATAGGAAAAAGTAATTGCAGATCAGGCAGCTCTATTTTCCTAGCAGGCCTGTCGATTAGCATATGCAGCGACCTGACTTCTAATCATTTTCGGATGTGTAAACTAGGTTGCTGAGCTAGTGGATTTCAACATTTTTTAATGGAATCTTAAAGGCTGTGGACCTAGTAGGAGCTCCCCTAGCAAAAGTCATAACTATACCTTAAGACCAACAAAGTAATCTGAAACTAAAATTAACGGGCTTGCACAATAAGGATTGGAAAAAGAGAGACATATTAATGTTCATTTCTCCTCCCATTGTATTTGCCTTTGACCTCCTTCATCCATTTAATGTAGTTTCTGACCCAGGCTTAGCAGTCAGCCAGGAATGCCTATTAACACTGCCTGGGAAGAAAGGAAGGAGGAAAAGAGGCTTTTTGTTCGTTTATTTGTTTCCCCGTGGGCTAGCACAGGGTGTCTAGGGTGGAGGAGAGAAGGATGGGATATGGTGAAGGGCCTACGAAGCTGGCACATGACCTGCTTTGTAGACCATGGTCAGTACTTTCAGCGTGATCCTCGGAGCCAGTTCAGTGCTTAGGAGACTTGAACGGAAGCTCTTCCATTCACTGCAAGTTGTCTTCCACTCCGGAGGACAGACAGAGAGACAGCTTGGCAGTGTCTGTTCAGGCTTGTTGAACCTGCACTTGCCTCGCGTGGTTGGAGTTTATGGAGCTGCTTGGTGCTGAACCACAATGGAGTCAAAAACAATGATGCCGGTATCAACGAGGGGTTTCATGAATCACTGCTTAATTTGAGAGAGCAATTTTAGTGAAATTTCTTATTATCTGTACAGAATTCATGGTGTGTAGCTTTTACAAACCAGAAAAAGTATATATATTCAAAAGAGTAATTTAGCACACATGCATAGACTCTTCAAATAATCCATAGGAGAAGACTTTCTCAGTGTCTCTCGGTTAAAGTATGCTTAGTTTCCTTGCCACTCCTGGATTTGAGCACCAAGGTAGGACGCTCACTCTGAATGAGGTGAGAGTTAGCTGGGGAAGGCAGAATCGGAGTGGGTGGAAGAAATCGCAGTGTAACACTCAGAAAGGCCCCTACTAAGTCTGAGCGCCACAACATGAGCCCGTTTCCACCCAACAAAGCAGACTATTGTTTACTCCAGGATAACAAACCGTTTGGGGTTTAATTCCTAAAACTCTAATTAAGATTTCTAATGATTTTCTTTAGTTTCTCTTACTACTTAGGCACTAAGACAAAAGCCTTTGGCTACAGCTGAGGAAACACTTCCCTGCTCCAAATATACGTATATATTTTTAAGATTAATTACTGCCCTGACTATCCCGAGATAGAGCTACTCCCATTTCCACAGAAGACTGTTTGGGAGCCTGCTCTTACTGGTCGCTAAGCATTCCATCACTTGACAGAAGATTTTTAGTTATTATTAATTACAATTTATCCTTTAGGGTTTGGGCTTGCTTACCATTTTATCCAAAACCTTCATTATTGTTATTATTATCAAGTTGAGCATTTGTATAAATGAGCTTGAAATATATACAGTTTACAGGTTTTGACTAATGCAAATAACTTTCTGCTTTTAGCTCATTTTCCTTACAGAAAGCATTCCAAATTTAAGCATATTATTAAAGTTATTAATGTAGATATGGTTCTCATATGTTAAAAATTAAAAAGTAGAATCAGAACTAATACAGCAAGAGAATCTGTAGAAAATATTAGGAAAAACAGATCTTAACTTACTTAAGGTTTGTCCCTTCCTTATTACTCTCTATCACAGTCGTTTAGAAGTTTAGGCATTTAGAGAATTTAGTGATTCACCATGTTATTAAGTCTTCACTTGCAAAACTGTAGAAAATCTCTGAGAGAAGTGGAAGGAAATATGTCATCTACTTTCTTCCTCAGATAAGAATATTTGGGCCGAAAGGGGAGAAGTTAGACCATAATACGTTGCAATTTTCTGATCCTATAGCTAAAGTTGGATTCATTTCAAACAGCTTAAACACAATTGTTGAATGGAATTGGGTTATACATTTTATTCACTGACCTGTAGTTCAGAGTGAATGTGTTAGCTAAGGATAGATTTGGGCTATCTTTGTGGAAATTTGAACCGATTTCTTGAGAAGGTTGATCAAAACTTCCTTGAAAAAGAAATATTAGATACTTTTCAAAGGCTTGAGCACTTTCAGATTGGCTCCTGGAAAACAAAATGCTTTTGTTTCTGTAATCAGCATTGAAGTAATTTCATTCTGAAAGCCACAAGCTGTCATCATAACTCAGTTTAACGACAGTCAATGAAATGACTCTTTTCCCTACCATTTAGACTGCAGCCTCGATACAGCTGTCTTTTTCTAGGGCCAGGCTCTGCATGGTGCCTTCTTCAAAGAAACATCCCAATGTCATGAAGAATGATGCAGATGGTTACTGTACATCTCCCATAACGAGATGACATGCAACATTTTATAGCATAACAGATATAAAGTTTCCTCAAACTTCTCATCCTCTCTTCTCTCCGAATGTTTCCTGTTCGTGGCATTTACTTTAAACGTATTCTCTCATCCCGTGGTAGTTAAATAATCTGTTGTCAATTTGAGAGGATTACGAGTGAAGGGGTGGAATTTAGCCTGTCAATAGGGTAACAGTTTGATGACCTCATTTGGAGGCGCTAAGGAGATAAATAGCTCGCTGGAAGCAGGGCACGTGCTCACTCCCTTGGAGACATTGCAGCTGACAAACACACATGGAACTACGCTAGTGCCCTGAACTGGAGGAGTCAGATGGGGACCCCTGCCAGTGCTGAGATGCCTACAATGCCATTGGATCCACAAGACTCCCCACCCACTGGCCTGTGATATTCCTGCATTCAGCATCATTGCTTGTGTCTCATGAGTCTAAAGAGGTCTTTATAGACTCGTATCGAACATTGGTATCAGACTTAAAACTTGATCTGGACAAGGCTGGGATGTTTTCTTAATGTACAATTACTCTCTCTATAAAGCCCTTTCTTAGACACATATGAGTGTCTATGAATTTGTTTCTCTAGTCTACCCAGACTAATACCCATCCTTACCCTATAGTCCTGTAATCCTTCCCAACTGTTCCCATGGTTGTTTATTTTCTTATTTTACACAGTCTAATGGCCTCGTTTATCACCTGTAATCATTATCACTACGTTATCCCCCAGTTAGCTCAATTTTCTCCTGAGAACCTACAGCCTTGAGAATTCTTACTTCTCTATTATAAATCAGGTTGTTTTTTTCCCTCTCCTGCCTCATGGAAGAGATTCATAATTGTACCTATTTCAAAGAAATGTGACCAACTAAATGAGCAAATTAGAGAACAATATATTGATGTTATATGCAAGTAACATTGCTAAAGGTCATCCTCATCCAACAGTGGTTGCAATAGAACATTAACAGAAACTCAGGCCCAATTCAGGAACAAAACTTATAACATGTGATAACATTGATGGTGTCAGATGGATAGTCACTAAAAGTAGAGAATGCCGAAAAGGTGTTTTTTGTGTGTGTTTTGTTGATTATACAAAGACATTTGACCGTGTGGATCATAACATGGGTATTCATGAGAGGAATGGGAATTGCAGAACACATCTTTGTGCTCATTTGAAATTTTTACATGGACCAAGAGGCAGTGTTTAAACAGAATAAGGAAATACTGCATTGTTCAAAATCAAGAAAGATGTGCAATAGAGTTTTGCCATTT